GCATTCACAGGCGGGACCCTCGGCCACTGACCAACGCTCATTGGCTTATCTAATGATGAGCACGGAAATGTTGCGCCTTCTCTCCTCTAGCTAACACCCATAGATATCCATGAGTGCGTGGACTGACTATTAATTAAAATGGTAAGGATAGGGTTAAGGCCTCCAAGCATTTGTGGCATACAAAGAATACCTACTATACTTATTTAAGTGGGTTTTATTCCGACACCATTATCTCGGTTTGGTGTTTCATCTTACAAGTTGGGGTTGTCTGTTGTAGACGGTCTGGTGCATTATCTACAATGACCTCAGCTCAGAGAGTTGAAAAGCGATTGTTGTAGACACTTAATGTTTGTTTTTTTTAATTGTCCTGCTTAATTTTGGTTGCTATAAGTCAATGTATTAAAACGTTTCCATCCGAAAAACAAATTTGTCAATTATCTATACTAATTGAAGAAGGAGACACGATCGTCGGGACAAGAGCTTTATTAGCCTGACGTTTTGGATTCCTACTCGAATCCATCATCAGAGATGGATGATGGATTCGAGTAGGAATCCAAAACGTCAGGCTAATAAAGCTCTTGTTTCGGCGATCGTGTCTCCTTCTTCAAGACTACTTCCTGGGACCCGGCTCTTCGCTTCTATCTATACTTATTTTGCCACTACCCTATGCATACATAGACCTCGCCCGTAAAATCCCTATTGCCACCTTTCCCGTAAGGTGGGTACCTTTGGTTGCTCGGGTGTGTTTGGGGACCTTAACCCAATTGTTGTTATTAAAATATACCAAAGTGAGGCCGATATTTGACAATCCATCTCCAAGCCAAATCAGCGCGAGCTCGAATTTATCACGATGCGTTAAGGGCCGTGGCCTGGAAGGCTGCCGACTGACTGAATAACTCGCTCCTTCTCAGAACTGTGAGTCTGGCCGAATAAAGCCCTTTTTAATGTGGCCTTTATGGTACGCTCATCGGTGTGAGAACAGGATCGCACCCATAGAAGCGCGATACACGTAGTGATGATAGATCATGTGTGTGGCGCGTGTAGGCGGTTGTTCGGCTCGGGCAGTCAATGCACCCAAACCCATCTCCGCTCGTCTTGACATTGTCTCACCACTGGAGCATGGGCTGACCGTAGGGGGTGCTGTCCAAATCTGCCTCACAATAAACTAATTCACGCGCAAGTCTCACTGATGATACACACGGTGAAAGTCATCGCTTGAGAAGGTCAAACTGCTCGATTAGTATACGAATACATTAGGACTGCTTAGATATGAAACCCCACAGTCGTGAGCCGAGTTCTTTTTAACCGGCTCTAGCATCTATCCTCGCCGTATTTGCATAAATGCATGGCTGAATTACAAACTAGTTGAGCAGCTTTATCGGCGTTATGGCCATGTTCACCTGTCCGACCTTCAGCCGAACCAACGTCCGTTCGACCTTGTGACTTTCCTATTGGACGTAACTGTCATGGCAGCAGCGAATGAGAGCTCAAGATGATGGCAGAAGCCGACAGGATCCACTATTAGGCAAGTACGAATGCAGAAGAAGATCAACACGGCGTGAGTTTACAGCATGAAACAGGTGACGAAACAAGCAGTTAGTCCAGTCGGGGGACTTTTGAGATGACACTGGATAGCTTTAGGATGCCGGTCAGATGAAGCTTTGATCCAGGCTATCGCAAATCCTTCTTCGACCAAACCGGAAACGACTGCCAGACGGCACTTTAGCTCCCAAGAGGTTCTCATAGGCGACCACCAAAACTTGAAAGTGGGGATTTTTTCCCAACTGTTTTCTCTGTCGTAAGAGTTTGAGTTCAAATGTGCAAATATATCCCGTGGCATTATGTCGATATACATGGACGACAGAATAACTAGCAGGTACGAAGCAGGAATATGCAATGTTACAGCCTGCAAGAGTCAGATACATCCCCTCCGGAGACCCTCGGACCAGTTGTCGAGCCGAACATAGGACCCGAAAGGGTAGGCTTGAGGACATCCGGTCCGTTGTCTCGTAGACGGTGAATCAAAGCCTCTCGTCATCGGGGTGTGATAGCCGGCCACCAATCAGCCACCAAAAACTCCCCTTACCAACGGGGAGACTTCGTAACGGCAGAAGTCATGAATATATCTCAACTACCACGCACCCAGACCACAGCGCCTTTGCTACAAAGGAATAGATCCGGGGAGGGTGATTGTATTCCGTACCGAACAGGCAAAGTCTGTATGAAACAAATGGTGTGCTGGTCAATTCCACTTCAACACCGCCAGACGTGAGGTTGTCAAAGTCAGTCCGCCAGTGTTCACAGTGTCGGAGGGGATGACACTAACCCTCGTGATCTTAATCCTAACGCTAGTGCCCCTACCCCAGCCCTAAGCCCTCTCCCACCCCTCCCCCCCTAGGAATTAGCGCAAGGTCACCTGTTACACCAAGGGTCCATATAAGCGTACTCTACCGATGGGTGCAACTGACGGATAAGCAAATACATCACACGGCGAACCACACTACCAGCAGCCATTGGCATAAATATGGCGAGCACGTGTAAGCATCAGGTGAACGCACAGTGAACAAGTTGTGGCAGACTCCACGACTAAGCAGAACATATGCCTCTGTTATTAACTGATTGAAATGCAATGCATAGGAATGCAATTAGGTCGAATGGCGGGGACATACAAGCACAACCGCATGTCTGAATGACACCCACGAGGTGCTCAAAAGTGGGCATTTGGTGTCATCGAACTGGGGCGCCGCGAAGGGGCCTGGCATGACTGGACAGGTGCCAGTCATCTTATCCAGGCTAAGACTGGAAGTGAATGCTGGCGACCAGTGCCGGTCGACAGGGAGACGAGGTTGACTTTGAGGAGTCACTGTGGCGAGTCGAGATGACAACCTCGCCAGAAGGCAGTTACAGAGGCGATGTGATAAATAGCAGGCTGAATAATCGGCACACCGTACTGCCTGTGGTCCAGAAAAGACTGCATGCGTGCTGAGACAATGCAGGGTTTGCGGCTGCCTGATTGGTCCTTTGTGGGCGCAGTGAATGACAACGAAGATGGCCACATGCAGCTCACGATGGACTGATGACTCACATTGAGTGGTCGAGCATCGACACTGGCGGCCTAATGTCGCAGGCACAGGGGTGTCCGGTACCTGCAGGCGTAATACTGCGGGCTGATGACACGACTGGCTGCGCTCTCTGAAACGTCATATCGTAAATAGACCTGACTCAATAAATACCGCTTCTCCACGGCAGACAGTACAGACAGCCGCTCACGACTGAGCCACGCTTTCTGGCAAAATAGGCATAAAGGAGGAGCGTTAGACAAGAAACGGGAGCCAGTTCCCCACCAGTGTGCCAGCGCATGCGTGTCTCTAGACGGTGGATGCTTCTGCTGAAAGTTCAGATTTAAACTAATTCGAAAATTGCACTTTCGCGAACAATGTATTCGCTCACTAGTACTGCTACTACTACATTCCCCTTTAGAGGCTGGTTGTTATGGACCAGAGGATGTGGCGATAAGCCTAAGTGCGACGTAAGAAACAACGGACCGAGCGAGTTCCGTAAGAACGATCGGTGAGCGCCCCCTCTATTGTATATTCCCGATCGAAAACCGACAGGGCAACGAGTTCGTGGCGCAGAGGTTAGAGGCGTGGAATTCTAACTAACAGGTCGGGAGTTTGAGTCTCGGGTGTTCCACACTTCGGGGTTGGGTATGACTGGCTGACGACGACTAATGAACCAGAAACGGCCATTCCAGTCGCCCTCGTCTTTGCCGGTAATAACATACTGAGTTTTCGACGTGTCAGCCACCTGCACCCCCCCCCTGCCTCTGGTCTTCTTGACAGGGTCATGACACCGAGCCCAGGTGGGCGAGAAGGAGAGAGTGCGGTAGATGCTACGAAAGTCTACTATTACTATGAACGAATTCACGAGCAAGTCCGCACCCCTGCTCTCACCCTGCTGTGGAGCACGCGGTGGACATCGTCCAAACGGACGGTCGAGCTGTCGGTGAGTGCTTCTGCTGAAAGTTCAAGTCTGAAATAATGCGACACGGAAACGCACCCGAAAAAACTCATTTGCTCAATAGCATTACTAGTAGGTTCCTCCTTAGAGGTTGAATTCTATGAAGTCAGAGAGCAGCAAGTAGGCGTGGTTTCAGTCTCGTCAGCCGCTGTGAGCATATCACAAGTGGCCGCCCACACCTACGAAATGGGTCACGAGTTTAACTTCGCAGCCACTAAAATAGTCGCCCACGCAGGATAAAAAAACAGACCGAGAATTTATTGAAGCCTGGGCCTCGGATGAGAAGTCAGAGCAATCGATTTATCGATCTGGCCCCAGCGTGCAGAGCCCTGCGCAGTCACCTCCAGCGTTGCGCCATCGATCGATGATAGGCTAGCACCTCCTAAAGTTATCGCCCGTTCTGTAGTTACTACTACCTTTGTCGATGGACGCCTGCATGAGTTCGAAAGCTCAGAACAATAAACGGACTGTCCGATGTTCGACCAGGCAAGACTGGTTGAGAGTTCTGCGTATGCTGGTGCTTTTGTTGCATAGAATTCGAAGAGTAAAGAATTTACCGCATAATGAGCTCTAACGCCCTATGAAGTGCTATCAGATAACACTGCGAACTTGAATATGGAAAAGCGATCCACGAGAGCATTAGGGGTGGTCAGAAAATACCCTTAGTCGTAGCTACTGAGGCCCAGGTATACCTCTCAACAGCCACAGACGTAAATCTGATATCTGATTGGTTGTTTTTGCCCGTCCTCGCGTCGAAGTCGTTTTTGATCGCTCCGGTTCCTACACTCACCACTCGGGTCAATCTCCGGCGGATGCGCTTCTTGCAGTAATGACGCCGCGGGCTTAGTCCCCCAGTCGATGGACAAACCCACGGACGCATGTAAAGCGAACTGAGCACTGTTATAGAAAATGACAATGAAGTCTTATCCTTGCAAACACATACAAAATATGGTGTGTACAGTGATGATGCCAAAGGCTGGTCAACAGAGTTCTTCTGCCAGCTGAAGAGACACCTCCGGCGGCACATAGTCAGCTATGGCGATGCTGTTGGCAAGCAGCATTGTCTCCCTGGGACATCGTGCTGTGAGCCAGATGCGACCGTTGCAGCCGACGCAGATTTCGAAGGGGAATTTCTGGAAGGCAGGAGACGAAAGGGTGAAAGCGTAGAGGTAACAAACAGGTGCCCAGGATAACGCCATTGTCAATGCCATTTAGCATTGATGTGAAAAAAGTGAAATTAAGGGCGAGTTGGAACACATTTCATAATCTTCCCACAGCCTTAGAGTGTCAAAACGGCCGAAAGAGCAGTGAGCATAACTTTAACCGCGAACCGGACTATATTGGACAGGTGTTCTAATTGTCGTATTTGGTAGTGGACTTTGCAAAATTTTCATCGAGCCGTCCCTCCCTCAACCCTGCCGTACAAACAATGACTAACGTGTGCGAGAATGATGGTAAGAGGACGGGGGTGAATGGCCCATGGATCACAGGGATTGTCGTTTTTGCAGTGCGGCGGTGGCAGTGATGCGGTGGGAAGGTGTTTGGGTTTCCTTAAAGTTGCTGATAATGTGGCTGGCAGAAAAAGGGATCAGGGGGGCCTTTAAAGTGTCGGAAACCACATTCTCAGTGCATATCAAATCAAGTGCTTCAGGCTTCTTCATGGTGCGGATGAATAAAGAACTAAATTCTACTGCAAAAATAGACCGAGACTTTTTGAAACCAACGGAGTTAGTTCTTCTGCAGTACCCAATCCGAGCACCCGACCTGAATCCAGTTGAGTTCGTATCCAACTTGCTGAAGACGAAACACCCCATGAACCCGCGGATTGAAAAAATCTGCGGCAGGGTCTGGAAATCTCATCACCAGGGAGGAAACCCAGCGTCTGGCTGCAAAGCTTTCGTGAAAAAATGCTTAAATGTATAAAGTGGATAATTGAGTTACACAGGACAGACTGGACGCATGCTCGGATCGCGCATACATGAACATAAGCTGGCTGTGCGGCGAGGCGACGCATTATCCCAAGTGGCCGCCCACACCTACGAAATGGGTCACGAGTTTGACTTCGCAGCCACCAAAATAGTTGCCCACGCCGGAAACAAAACAGGCCGAGAATTGATTGAAGCCTGGGCCTCGGATGAGAACTCGGTCAATCGATTTATCGATCTGGCGCCGGCGTACAGAGCCCTCCGTAGTCACCTTCAGTCGTGCGACGTCGGTCGATGATTGGGTCTACGTGCCTTATGACTGCCGCTTGTCCTGTTTCTGCCACTACCTCTGACGATGGACTCCTGTACGAGTCTGAAAGCTCAGGATAATAAACGAATTGTTCTGGTGCTCGACTCTTCTTCTTCTTCAATTGAGTTACTTTGTCCAAATAGCTTTGGCCCGTTCAGGCGGAGCTGGGGACTCCTAGAAGGTGCTGAATTTTCTTCGTCCCTCATTATGTCTTCATGAAAAGACCTCTGGATTCAAGCTGAGCATGTGCTCTTTCAGCTAATGCTCTTTATTGTATTTTGCCGGTAATATGGTATGGTAGGCTGATAAAATGAGGACCTCATCGGTGTTCAAGTAGTTATGGACCTGGGTTTTGTTCCTTATAGGTCTTCTGCCTTGACTCCCAAATCATCCATCACCGGACAGCCAAACAAAATTCTTCTATCTAATCATTCTTTTCTGACTTCACTTCCCCCCGTGTACCCTCTCCTATTCGCATTTGGTCGCTTTTCTGTTATACACCTTTCACACATTCAGCTATTATCATTTTCCGATTTGCGTGATTAGAGTTTGACTCTAGTTACACCTTGGCTGTCTTCTAGCTGAGTTTGTGGTTCATAGCAAGTTACTGCTTGCTACGATTTCCGCCTTGTTGAAAGTGTAATGTAGTCAAACACTGTAGGCTAGGGAAGCATGGTCATTATGTTTGGGTAAAACACGCTTGTTTACGATCCTTTATTTCCACTTTGTCCGCTACGCCTCTTAATGTTCACTACTTTTTCATATATTATTTTCTGGTAGTTTAATCGTTACCATGAACAAATACTACAAGCCGTGGAGTCAGCCACTTCCGTGTTATTTTCGTAAGGGTATATAAATGAATTGCTCTTCGTCCTTAACTTGTCTTGGTTTTTGGGCTGTTGAGTATATATGTGTTGTGTCTAAGGTAGTGGATGCCAAGCGGATCACATGTTTGGGTCGGACAGGCGCTGGACGTCGCCACTTGCGACGACCAAACAGCATCGGCATCACAGCGATTGTTTGCCTCAAAAGCCCTCAGTTCGGGCACCGCTAGGAGATGAACTGGTGATCGGAAAACAAACGAGTCTGCTTCAAAAAGGCAACATGCTAACCAAACACGTGATTGTTTTGAGAAGGCTATTCGTGCACAGCTCTCTGTCCAATGCCCCCCCCCCCCGACGAGTTCCACTTGGAAATGCATTGCTTGTGGTGCAGTCAGGCTGAAATGAGCCCGACTTATGATGTCGACAACTTTCGGAGTCATTAGCACATGTTTTGCCACTGACGAGCTTCTCCCTCAACCAGGCAGCAGCAGCAGCCTATTGGTCAAACCAGACATCCGGCACGACCTGCGGAAGTCGACAGCCACCCCCTCAAGGGGCTGACTCTGTTGAGCATCTGAGGTAACTGGTTTTGAGACAAACAACCCGTACTGGCAGAACGACAAAGGACGAACGGCAGGTCGATACATTTGTCGTCAACAGTCGACTAGAAGGCGCAGAGTCGGAGTGACTGAGGCATTGCCGTTGTAGTAGGGGACTGTGCAATTAAGACTCGGCGATGAAATATGGGGACGCATGACTTGAATACAGCATTTCCGTGAACGATAAGAAATGTTCTTGTGTGTCTAAAAGATAGTTTTTACCTTAATTGGCAATTCTTGGTAAGGGGCACTCGCAGGCCTGGGCGAAAGCTATGACGTCAAACAACTTAAAAGTACAGGTTACCAAACGTAAGAGATCCAGGTCGGTAATCTGAGAAATGCAAAGGGCTCACCAAAACGGCGGGGGGACAGGTGCAACCGAACACCATTGAGGTGACGACACACAACGCAGGAGGCTGCCGACGCTCACAGACAGTGGTTAGAAGACCAAGGCAGCGAAGAAAAAAATCGATTGGCCCAAGGCCAACTAATTCGACCGTTTATTCAAAATTCTGGTCGATTTTTTGCCCAAAACACTTTCTCGCGCATGTTGTCGATTCCGGGCATCATGTAGACCCCAATGAAGTGTTTCGGATGATCTATAAAGTCCCATCGAGCTACCCTAAACCACTGGGGCAGCGCATGTTAGCAACAGCAGAGGCGGCCGCCATCAGGTTGCGAAAACCAATCTTTTGCGCACAGAAGAACCACGTTCAGGCACCGCGCCTACACTGGTCGAAGGTCGACTAACGGTGCAACTCTCCCCGCGCCCTTCCGCTCTACCGCCGCCCCTGACACTGACTGCTATTACCCCCCCCCCCTCCCTCCCCCACCCAGCCTGTGTTTTAGGGCGAACTTTAATCGATTTATCTTATCACTGACGTGTTTGTACTTCTACCCCTTCCCATTTAATTGTACTGGCCCGGCGAGAATTTATCGAAAGCTACGTACGCTTGCCACCGCGTCTTCTGATTACTGCTATGGGAATTTTCGCAACTCCAAAACGCTTTGATAGTGGAGAGCCAGCCAAGCACTACGAAACATCAGCCACTCAGTTCCACTGATCCGGCGAGCCCTTCATACCTCTCAACTTAAAAGTACCTTCCGTAATTCGCCTAAGCCGTACTGGTAACTGTTGGACCCCACGTGAGTACAGCTGGCCTGCTGAACAACCCTTCACTGATCCATTCTCTGTGTGGATTCCCGCATGCACTTTTTTTCTACGCGTGAACTTACCAGTCCTTCTGCTCTGTAAGGAGGAGATTCGATTATTACCGCCGGTTACATTTAGTGAAGGTCTACGAGGGAGTATTATTCGAAGACGCACTCGGCAGGTTTTACGGTACCTAAATAGCGTTTAGAGCAGATTCTATCGAAAAAAGAACCAGCGTATATAGGATGCCGGTTCAGACAACGTCCTAACTTGCTTCTGCATTGATCCGCCGTTTCATCTTAAACCCTCCACTCCGTTCTATGGCTGGGATGTCGGCTTTGGGCATCCCCGGGCCACACTGGCCTTACCGAGCCCGGCATGTGAAGGTCCGTGATCGGGTGGATAGGGCATGCACTCACCCGCTTCGGTAGGGGGGAGGGCAGTTGTCAACGGCAGACGTCCACAATCCCCAGAATCATCCAATTAAATCATAAAGACGACTGGCTCTCACACGTGAGGTACACTTGGTCAGCCGTAGTGAGATGTACAGGCAGGTCATGTGGGGAGGGGGACCCAGCCCACTATCAAGCTTCATTCTGGTGTTGTTCCCTTCTCCTAAGTGGGATCCTGTCCTGAGTATTGCGGTGGTTGACGGTAGTCCATTATTCCAGTCGCCATTTGCCTACAACAAATCCTTTATTGCGTTTAGCTATTAAGGGGGGAATTGAGGACACGAGATGGCTGGCAGCAGCCGCACTAGCATAGGTCGGATGTCCGACGCCCTACCCCTGGGCCACGGTGACCGGTGAACGAAGAACGGAGTCCCAATCGCAACCGACAGGACAGCGGATCCGTGGGCCAACGGTAGGGCGTTGGATTCAACGATCAAGTATCAAAATAGTCCAGGTTAGGCATGACTAGCGAATGACGGCTAATAAGCCAAAAGTGGCCATTCCAGTCTCCAGCAGTCAGCACACCAACATCCAACGCATGTGATGAGATTGCAGCAATTAACGACGCAAATGTCGGCCATCAAACAGTCATCATACCACGTGCAACGATTCCTGATGAAGGGGGAGCCGTGAACATTCATAGGTATGCAGTTGCACGGCGACTGCATCCTATAAATACTGCCGTCCCTTGTGCCTGAACCACCCGTATCTGCTTTTGTCTATGATGATGGGTTCGAACAGGAATCCGAAACGTTAAGCTAATAAAGCCCTTGTCCAAGCGATCGTGTCTCCTTCTTCAAAACGTCCTAACTTGCTTGTGCATTGATCTGCCGTTTCATCTTAAACCCTGTACTCCGTTCTATGGCTGGGATGTCGGCTTTGGGCATCCCCGGGCCACATTGGCCTTACCAAGCCCGGCATGTGAAGGCCCGTGATCGGGTGGATAGGGCATGCACTCACCCGCTTCGGTAGGGGGGAGGGCAGTTGTCAACGGCAGACGTCCACATCCCCCAGAATCATCCGATCAAATCACAAACATGACTGGCTCTCACACGTTAGTCAGTCGTGGTGAGATGTACAGGCAGGTCTTGTGGGGAGGGGGGGGGCGTACATCGAGGGCCCTGCCCACTATCAGGCTTCATTCTGGTGTTTTTCCCCTTCTCCCAAGAGGACTTCTGTCCTGATTACTGCGGTGGTTGACGGTTGTCAATTATTCCAGTCGCCGTTTGCCTACAACAAATCCTTTATTGTGTTTAGCTATTAAGGGGGGGGGGGGGGGAATTGAGGACATGAGATGACTGGCAGCAGCCGCATTAGCATAGGTCGGATGTCCGAAGCTCTACCCCTGGGCCACGGTGACCGGTGAACGAAGAACGGAGTCCCAATCGCAACCGACAGGGCAGCGGACCCGTGGCCCAACGGTAGGGCGTTGGATTCAACGATCAATTATCGGAATACTCCAGGTTGAGCACGACTAGCGAATGACGGCTAATAAGCCAAAAGTGGCCATTCCAGTATCCCTTGTCTTGTCGATTCGCCTCTCTTACCGGTCTCTGCGAGCGCCCCCAAGGCGCAACAAGACGATCCTGCCCTGTTAGCTGATTGGTGACCGCACTTGCAACAGTAATTCTTCGTAATGCGACCACCTCTGTGGGCAATCGGTTGGGACTCAAGGGCATGACAGACCGCTGAACGACCACTCTCATGTCACTTTTAATATCTGAGATTGTAATCGACAGGGCATGAGCCCATGGCTCAGACGGTTGGAGCATGGACTCAATGGTCAACGGAGCCTGGACTCAAGCCGTGATCGAGACTGGTCTATGGCACTAAGCGTCTGCCACGTGCCTTTATTGCGTTTAGCTATTAAGGAGGAAATTGGGGACATGAGACGTCTGGCAGCAGCCGAATTAGCACAGGTCGGATGTGCATGGCTGGGGCCCCCATGGACGGAGTTCTCCAGGAATACCGGTCCATTGTGCTAACAGCTACTTACGATGAGTAGAGTGTGGATGAGAAGACCCTGCGCTTCTAATAAAACGCAGCCACATAAGGAGGTACACCTGATTGTGTGCCAAGCTTCGTCATTACTAGGCCGACTCAACAACTTGGACTGGATGCGGCATTACCTCCGCAGCAGTGTTAACCGCATATGGTTGAACGTTAGCCCAGTGGAAACACCGTTGAATAAGCTTGAAGAGTCCATCTCAATCTGTCAGCAACAATTCTCAATTAAGCAGTAAGGGGTACGCACACAGAGGAGGGAGAGGGGGATGGCCGTTTCCGGCTTATAAGAGGTCGTCGGCCAGTCCTATCCAAACTCACGCTTGCGGGACCTGTGATTCGGACCCGGATTTTTTGCACATTGAGTGTTTTTAAGTCCGACGCTCTACCCCTGGGCCACGGCAACCGGTGAACGACGTACCCATGACATTTAGGAGTTAGGATCGCAACCGACAGGACAGCGGGCCCGTGGACCAATGGCAGCACGCTGGATTTAATGCTCAATTACCAGAAGAGTCCAGGCTGGGTATGACTGGCTGATGACGGCTAATAAACCAGAAATTGGCACTCAAGTCTCCCTTGTCTTTATCGGCACTCCAGTTTCTGCATATATTTGCGGTCAGTGCGACCATCTGTCAGGGCTCTAGATTGGGCTTCAAAGCGCAACAGAGCGAGCCTTCTGTGTAAACTGATCGGTGACCGGCCCTACAGCGATAATTCTTCGTAATGCAACCACCTCCGTGGGTTCTCGGCCGGGAATCCAAGGCAAAAGGAAGCACCCGCTTTCCTTCCTGTTATCATGACAGACCGCTGAACGGCCACTCCCATGTCACTTTTAATATTTGAGATTGTAGTCGACAGGGCATGAGCCCATGACTCAGATGGTAAGAGCATGGACTCAATGGTCAACGGAGCCTGGACTCAAGCCGTGAGTGCACCCCGCCTGAGACTGGTCTATGGCACTAGGCATCTATCGCGTGCCTTGCAATTCCAGTAGGCTCGTGTTGAGAATCGCGTAATACCGAGTAATTCACACAATGGGTGGTCTCAGACCCTCAGCACTACAGAAGAAGAGGAGGGTAATTTCAACGCCAATTGGAGGATGTGGTCGACGGCCCACAGTCGTCTGGATCCGCGGAGCCCGGCAGTGAGGGGAGCAAATTGAAGGAAGAGGAGCAAAAAAATGCCGGGCAGCAACATAAACCGGGACTCGACAGGAAGGTGAAGTTGTGGGGAAAAGCTTCGGAAGAAAAAGCGAGATAGTAGAGGCCCACCTCACTGAGTTTTCGCAGGAGAGGGAAGGTGTCCTCGTTTGAGAGCCGGCGAACCAGCTCGAGGGAGCAGTAGATCATGACACCGCCGTTCATGCCTCCGGCGTTGCCCACCGAGCCTGGCTCGTAACGACCGAGAATGCCCATTCCGGCGGCCTTGCCGGCTTCGTCGACACAGGAAAGCTCGATTTCAAGATCTGATAACCGAAGAAGGCGGAGGGAAGGGGTGATGTTAAAAAAAACGTTCTCAGTCTGGATCCCCGGGCACGGTGCATGGGGCATACGAACAGTTGAACAGGCGTTCTGCAGGTCGAGTCGCGTGAAGTCTCGTAAAATCTTTTTGTTTTATGCAAACAAAGTAGTAGGAGAGATCTCGCAAGTGAATAGAAATCCGCCGTCTCGACCATGAGATCATGCCTTTAAGCTTCGTGATTTGGAATGGAAGATATCTGCAGGGGATGATGACATACATCAGTGATTAGAAGCACACTCGCGTGCATTAGCCCATGGGGTCGGTGAGAATGGCATTCTGACTACAGTAACATTCCACGCAAATAATGCAACCGAACAGAAACAGTAGGATAAAATGAGCTTTTCTGTCTGTCTTGTCGCTGTTAATCATAAAGAAGACGGGTAATTAGAGATCAAACATCTATCTAGAGATAATGTTAAGGTGGTGTACTAATTACTTGAACGTCTAACGAGTATCAACGTTTTCTGGGACCTTTTCGCATAACATGACTACTTCCAGTTTCGTTGACCCAAGGATCCACCAACTGATGGCCTAAAACGACCTCAAAAGGCAGACACACGCGTGCCCAGGCATTTCCAGCCATTGTGGCCTCAAGCGGCGCAGCATGCGAGCATCTGGGTACAAGTCCCTCGGCCTAGCTCCGCAAACACACAATCAGCAGACCAAAAGAACACGCACTCGCCACCCTTCCCCCTCCTCAGACATGCGCAGACACGGTCAGCGAGTACTCCGGCCTCGCCAGCAATCACTGTTGCGTGAGACTACAGTTCAGCGTCGTTGGCGGTTTGTGAATACTACGCGGTTATTCCGCGTAATATTATTAATATTATATATATATTAAGGCACAACGGAACGAGTGAGTTCCGTATGAACGATCGGTGAGCGCCCCCTACCATTATATATTATATATATATATATTATCATATATTACTATTATTACATATAGTATTATATATATTATATTATATTAATATTAATAATATTAATATTAGTCCGCCTGAAAAGGTCTGTTCCGAAGGATTTGCTCCAAGCTCGCTCGTTAATTTCCTCGAAAATTAAACCAGGTGAAACTGGAGTTCATATACCAGAAAACACACGGGAAGGCTGGGGGACCCACTGATGAGCCGAATCCCTCGCAGCTGTGTCATACAGCGGCACAAGATCGGTGAACCACGCGTGTCTGGGCTTTTAGCTAATACCTGTGTTGTCATTACGGTAAATAATTGCACAATTCTGTCCCTACACGGTTGAAAATTCAAAGAACCCTTAGAACGGAAAGACAATTAAACACCTGGAATTCCGGAAATACGGAGCTATGCGGAGCTGTTAAGCCGTCGCAAAATTTTTCGGAACCAGAAAATCATGCGGGTTTTAAATTCATATTGGAGACGAAATACTTCAACCAGCCAAATCTCGGAGTATCGTCAAAGAAACGTTTCTTTTATCCAATTCTGTAGACCTCAACCTCCAGAAAAAAACCCAGCAAGGCAGCAAGGCGATACTAACCCGGACGGCAAATCACGCCCGTTCACACAAGAATCAGGCCATAAGCCAGTGTTTTCCAAAGCTGACATACATCCATCCATTGCTTCCAGGTACTGAAACAGCCAGCCGCGGGGGACCTGACCTCCCGGGGTGAGGGACCAAAAGAGCCTAGAACGGGAAGTACCTGGGTCGGCCTGAGAGATGGCAGCAAATACGACGTCTCGCAGACGGATGTCTGGCTTATTCTTCTTGGAGGCGCCTTCAAAAGCCATGAGACTGAGACTGGCGGTGGAGGGGCAGCCAATATCCACGAGGCACATCTCACTCGTCTTCTTCTTCACCACGCCCAGCACGCGGTCGCCGACGACGAACTGGGAGACGTGACAGGACTGACGGGCGTTGCAGAGAGAGGGGCAGATGGCGCCGGAGCGAGGCAGTGCGTCCACCCAGACTCGGTGTTGTGTGGCATCCGCGGCGGAGGTGGCGGGCAGGTAGCGTAGGATGCCCAGCTGTGGAGGGTGCAACACAACTAAGTATTTTATGGGAGGAGAGGGCGGGACATAACAGTTCAACCGTCGGTTTCGACGATTACCAGCATGTGTTCCACAGCAGGGTGCGGGCGCAGGGACGGTGACTTGCACGCGAATTAGTTTATAGTGATAGTGGACTTGCGCAGCATCTATCGCACTCTCTCCTTCCCCACCTGGGCCCGGTGTTAAGACAGAGTCAGGCAGACCGGAGGTAGAAGAGGGCGCAGGTGACTGGCACAGTGAATTCTGCACCTAGGCGTACCAAGACGGACCCTGGTCCACAAAGTACACTGACCCTGGCTCGCAACAAACACTTGACCAGGATTTTCAACAAAAACAACAAATGTGGGGGGCGGCAGGAATTTCAACTGGGCATGCCACCGCACACCGAATTTTGGCATTTGTTACGGGTGTGCATTCCCGATAAAGCCTGCAAGGATTCGATGTTGGTCCAACGCATTCACTGCGTGGACCGTTATGACGGGGGCGGGACATAGCAGATGCAGCTGATATTGATCGTGCGACACAAAGCGGACCATAAAGGTTTCATATAATAGCAATGACGACTTATAAAGCACGCCGGCGATTGCCGGTTGCAAGTCCTTTACGGACATACCACGCTGCTCTAACGCAGAGGCTTCTGTTCAAGCATGTGGATCGACAAGAGGGATGTCAGTGGGGAGAGATTTAGGGAATCTCCTTCATCGTTGTGAAAGCCAAGTTTGTGACCAACTCCCGAGGAAATTTTTAAAAAAAGTGCGATTTCGAAAACTGGAGTATCAACCAGAAATCAAACAGGGAATTCTGAGGGGGCCCACTGATGAGACGAGCCCCTCGCAGCTGTGAAATGCAGCGGAAGAAAGTCAAAGATGCATCTGTCTGGACTTTCAGTTAGTACCTGAGCTGCCAAGTATGGTATATAATGCAAGCTAAGCCATGTTGCTTCTAGGGTACCGGCAACCCATGTTCTTTTGTTGCATGTCGAACATAGAATGTCCCGATGGTCATCACTGGGGCAAGTTGTATAAGAACTGGGGGACTGAGAGTCACACTGTAATGGCTCCCTCCCAGTTCGAGCTTTATGGAACTTTCACGCATTGAGGTCCGAGTCACCCTCTGTGAAATCCCGATGCATGTTTAGGGGACCAGGTCGTGTGTAGCACGCGTAGAGCGGCTGCTCAGTTTTGCCAGCCACTGGGCACGAGTCAACTTCCGGTTGTCTTGTCATCGGAGCGAGGTGGATAATTGGGGAGCGAGTGCGGTATATACTACGCAAATCCGCCTCACCACTTCACACCCAAGTCGTCGATACTGCGTCCACTCCGTGGGGCACACGGTGGACATCGTCGCTCGGGACGGTCAAACTGTCGGGTGGTAATAGTGCCTAGCTCGACGCTGTCTTGCCATCGGAGCAGGAGAGGTGAGGGAGGAGAGAGTGCCGCAGATGCTGTGTAAGTCTACCATCATTATAAACTAATTCACACTCAAGTCATCGGTGCTGCGTCCATTCCGTGGGACACACGGTGGTCGTCGTCGCTCGGGACGGCCGACCTGTCATGATAAAAACAGAAGCCAGTAGATCGCTTCCGAGCAAATCATTTCATGTAAGACCGCTATCATGACCAATGTGCTTGAGTGTTGTGCCTGCTGTTGAACCCGTAAGCGCTGCAAACCCAGACCTCTGCACATTGAAGTCCGGCAAACCACGTCGACGGCAGAATGATCCTAAGATTATAGCCTGGGCCGGTATTATTGGGACAGAAATAATTAGGTCATTATTCGACCAGACTACTATCGAAATCAACTGACTTACCCCCATCTTAGGGCTATTCGACCGTCAACAGTGATTGTCGCGTTAAACCATCGTGGAGTGCGTGACCATAGGACGGGATCGCTTCACATTACGCCCATGTGGTGCGCAATTACCTCAATGAGGTTTTCAACAACCAATGAATTGGCTGAGTGGAGTCTTTGGAGTAGCCCCCGAGGTACCTTAATTCTGACCGACATAACCTCTTCATTTACGGTTACCCGAGACACAGGGTTTACGAAGATAAACACACAATCGTGGAACAATCGAGGCAGGCGCGACTGAAGTCTAATTACTGCGTACACTTGACACCATGTTCTCCAATCCCGTTTGAGGAGATTGTTCTATAAGCAGAATCATGAGCAGCATCTGAGACATCCACAGAGGCAAACTTTCTGGGAACACTTTACACTGCCATATTCCATGGTTTAGCGGTATGTTTTGGGTGTTGCATACTACCTTGGTTAGAACAGCAACTATCTGATGAACTACAGATGACAGAAACAGTTAATATACGAATGTTACCACTAACAGTGGGGACATTTGCACACGAGGCGACCAAATGTCTGAAGGTTAACAGCGTATTTGAATGGCGTTCGTTAGTGCTGCACCAAGGATTAGACCACAGGGTTAGGCATGTGGGACCAGCTACATCACCAGCCAGGCCATGCGTCTCATAGAAAAATTACTGCAGAAGTGATTCCATTGCTGGCCATTTTTACGACTTCACTAACAAAGTTCGGGCGAATGTGTCCCTCACTACCAAGGAAACTCAAACGATTGTGTTGTCCGCCCCGTCACTGTCGCTATATGATATACTAACCGATTATTAACCGCTGGACCAGGCTGAATGCATTGGGTCCGATTGCAAGAGTCGCCTACTTCCAAATCCACGTTACAATGATTCAGTAATCTGGTTATCAAAACTGGACAACCTGGTTAGTGGTCGGGGACTCGTGGAGGCTGTACGCACTCAGTTCTCATGCTCACATGAGCACTGGGTGCGTACAACTCGGCCATCGTAGACCACAGTAAGCATAGACACGCGTCTGGTGATGGCAACAAGTTGGTACGGAGTTGGGCTGGTGCGATTACGTCTTTCAGGAAAATTCGGATTGGTCCATATTTTTCATCGCAGGATTACAAACACCTCAAGTTGGGGACCAAATGCCTGCTGGCATCGTACTGTAGTTAGCTGAGGCAAGTGTGAAAGAGTGGCCGACGATGTCCACCGTGCACTCCACAGCAGGGTAAGAGCAAGGACGGCGACTTGCGCAGCATCTACTGTACTCTCCTCCTCCTCCTCCTCCTCCCCCGACTGGACCCGTAGTCAAGACAAAGCCAAGAAGGCCAAAAGTGGGAGAGGGCACAGGCGGCTGTCATGGAGAAAACCGCCCGTAACACCACAGCCCCCGGTCCACAAAGTACACTGACCAAGACTTTATAGAACAACAAAAACGGGAAGCGATCCGGATCACAATTAGCGCTGCGTGCGCATGCATCCGGGCCTGCCCCACACCACCAATGTTGGCATTTTTCATGCGCGCACATTCCCAATAGCGCCCGCCGCACTCGGACCCGGGCTCAATGTTGGTTCGGGCCATCTACCGCGTGGCCCATTCTGGGGGCTACACTCGGTTCGATAAAGCACTCAGCAGTTTTCCAGCATTAGAAACGCTCATATAAGTCGTTAGACATCATACCAAACACGATCATATGAATGTAACGAGAAAGGAGTTGGAAACTTGACCCTGTTATCAGAGAGAAGCAGACTGCATCGTTGGGTAGGGGCATAACGTTAAATATGCAATCTGTCTTGATATGTCCGTTAGACTACCGGTGGGAAGTGCAGCACTGGGGACTGCTGACGTCGAACGAGAGATAGCTAAAAGATCTGCGGTGAAGTTCGATTGGGAGGGAAGGAAATCAGCGATTGCGAAGGGGGAAGCACACTAGCATCTTCGCAGACACGCGACCACACCGTTCCCACCTTGGGTTCGCGCCAAAAATAACTGCAGTCCGTTTAAACAACCCAGTCAGATTCGTGGTTCGTTACAGCAATGACCCTCTTTTTGGACACTTGCAGGCGCAGGGCGTTGACCTGACAAGGCGTGTTGTCTGATTGGCCATTTGCGTCGACCAATCAGCAAGCGGTAATTTTGAACTTTCTTTTTTATTGGTCGAAGGACAATCGAGCGAGTAGGCGCGGAGCGCTCAGTCCACACCAACTGCACCTTGATAGGCAGACGAGCGGCAGAATGCACAGACTTGAGCTATCTACCAGTGAGTTCAACCGGCTGGCCACTTGTCCCATATGCCTGGAACGACTGACAGATCCATGGGTCTTACCTTGCCAGCATTACTTCTGCTACAAACCTTGCCTTGAGGGATTGCTAAAAGAGAATGCACGCAACTGTCCGAACTGCAGAGCTCAATTTGAGCGAAGTCAGTTAAAGCCGTTCTACTTCTTCCGAAACCTGGTTAGCCTGATAAAACCAACCTCGCAGACGCAGGAGGACGAGTCGGCGGCCTCCCCAGACATCGAATCGGAGTGGCAAACACCAGTAAGAGAGGAGGAATGGACCAGCAGGCGCATACCAGGGGAGGGCTTGGTGCCAGCTGCAGCCCCAGACGTCGTGAACTCGCAAACCGGCATGGTGCGGAGGTGCCCACGATGGGCTTCTTGTGTGGACAGAAATTGCAATTTTGTGCATCCAACTCGTTTCTGCATGAATATTAGCTGTCCGGGAGGTGACAGCTGTAACTTGCTACATGTATGCGACATTCCAGAGATATCAGAGTACGGGACATCCATCTTTCGCCGTGAGAGTCTACTGTGAAGAGTTGTTGGTCTCACATGGAAGAAAACCTCGTTCTCCTTTCCCCCAAAAAACTGCATCTAAAACTGCTTCAACAAGCAACGGCCAGGGTAAGTGGCAAAAGCGACAGCTGGAAATGACAACTCCGCCGTTAAAGAGTCAACCCTACATGGCTGTGACTTAATGTCCTTTTTATTAATATTGTTTGACGTTTTGTTTAAAATATCCCTTGTTGCATTTATGCCGACCTTTTATTGCAAATAATCGAAGTACGCAGAAAGGTAGGTGATCTACTAGAACACTAATGCGCGGGTTAAATATGCTTGAGAACTGAGAAATGAAAAAGTGCGGACACCCGTGATCGAAATGATGCAGCTGAGATTCAGGCCCTTCGCTGGTTGGGAGTATTTTGCCCTAAAACGTCGGGATGCCACTAGGCAGTTGTCACGGTCAGCGAAAAGAGTTCGGTAAAATAAACTACGAAAACTGTCTGCAGAACTGGCGAGAGGGCGTGAGATGACGATTTCCATGCACGATACTTGGGTGGTCGCGAGCGACAAGGTCAGGATACACGTGACTTGCGGATGCATTTGTTTACGGTGAAGCAGACTTGTCTTGCATTTCTCTCTTCCTCTCTCTCTCCACAAACACCGCGTTCCGGTGGAAGGGGCTGAGTGCCACACACGTGCTAGGCTTCATTCAGAGGCGGGGGGAACGCAGATCTCACGTGAGTGTCACAAAGGCCGGATAATGAAGGGACCAATACAGTCTGATCCGCAGTCACGAGTCCAACCGAGTCAAGTCGCGGTCGCTGAGGTTCGGGCCTCTTAAAATAGGCACCAAAAGGCCACATTTGTGGCTGTGGAGGTATTGAGAATGGGACAGCAGATGTGGTTATGTAGCCCCACCTGAAGTAAACAAACCCCAGCCATCTGTAATAGGGGACCAGCAGTGATAGGGGTTTTTACAGGTGGGGCCGGGGAACGCACAGGCGACACACTCCGCACACTCCGCAGCTGCACTGAAGTCGGTAGACAACAGCCGACATCTCCTGCTTAGAGATCGGGTCTTTTGGCCGCAGCACTTGCCGGCGGATTGTTGAGTCGAGCATGCGGGCAACGCCTATTCCGAGCGGTGCGAGGGATCTGGCTACGGCTTCGGAGACTCCCTTCATGCATGGAATGCTCCGCCACGATTTTGGCTGACTACGTTCATTATTCCGCTTCCTTGGTTGCTTTCGACACCGTTCAACGAATGCCCGCGGATAGCCGTTGGCTCTGAAGAGTTCTTGGAGGAGTTTCATTTCGTCCAGTTTGGCGACTGGAGTGCTGCAGTGAGTTTCCACCCGTCAGTATTGCGTGCGTACACAGCTTCGTTTGTGTTGAAGTGGGTGGCTGCTGTTGTAACTGAGCATTTGCAGCGTGTTCGTCGGTTTTCTGTTGACTGACGCCGCCAGTTTGCCGTCTGGTTGGTGGCAGAAGAGAACATCCAGGAATGAAAGTTTGCTCTTCACTTCTTCCATCGTGAACTGTAGGTCGGGAATGATTGAGTTCAGCAGCTCTTCGTAGTGGTTAATTTTATCTTGATCGATGATTACGAAGGTATCATCAACGTAGCGCGTCCAAAACTTGGGTTTGTATTCCTCGAACAGTCATTTCTCGAATTTTTGCAGAACCGCCAATCGGGGCCGTCAATTATCGCCGCGGCCGACGATGATGGGCGGGATTCAGGTCACGGTGACATGCGGGTCGGATGCAGCCACACAGGCGGCATTGATGGGCCAGGCATCAAACAAAGTGCGCCATATAAGGAAAGCTGTGTACACGACTGCTTAGTCTCTGAAGATGGGTAGAAGAAACGACTACCCGAAACGTCAGACCTCCAATACACCTCTCCCGGTGAACGCCTCCTTTTCTTTTGATAAGCGCCACCTGGGAATCGCATTTTGACTACTACTGAGATAAAATCCTATCATGGCTCAGCTCAATGAATGGTTAAGGTCGAATCCGTTTTGTTAAAAAGTCACCGCTAACGCGAAAAAAGACCACAGAAAGCGTGGTTGGACTAGAGACAAAATCCAGGAGCATCAAGAAACAAATCTGGTAAGATAAGGTTATGTAGCCCCACCTGATGGACACAATACTGTTGGGGTTGGAGCTAGGGGTTTGGGTTGGGGGTTAAGAGAACTATTTCTCAACCACTCAAAGTACAACCGCGCATTCTCAATAGATTTTCTTTCGCATACAACTACTTGAACCTCGTCGCCTGTGCATTCCCCGACGCCCTGTAGAAACCTCTATTATCGCTGGTTCCGTATTACAAGTGGCTGGGGTTTGTTTACTTGAGGCGGGGCTACATAACCACATTTGATCACAAATCGAAATGACTGATCAGCTAATCATAAATATTTCATATTGGCCCAACTGTGAAAAACTCGGCGCCTCGGTGGGTCGATATGAATTATGCAAAATCTGCCAAAAAATCTATGAATTGCGTAAACCCGGTAGTCATCTGGTGGATTCTAGGCGAATTAGGAAATCCTGCTTGGGCAGTCAACTTACTGTATCAGATTTGGTGGACTCCAGGCGTTGCAGTAGGTTGGGCGGGTAACTTGACCCAAATGTGATTAAACTCGTGTCGTCCGACGCGACCTCGTAGCTCAAGTGGTTAGAGCGTTGGCTGTACTAAAGCCTTCCCCCTTACTACGTTGGGTTCGAACCCCACCGAGGCGCCGAGTTTTACACAGTTTGGTCAATATGAATTATTCAAAATCTGCCAAAGTATTTATGATTCATGAATATGTACCAAGCGTGAGTTCAGAGACTACTCTTCACGAAGTTGAGATCCGGGCTGTTAACTTGAGAAATAAGGAGGACTCATTGGAACCGGTGAGCTTGGTCGGCTCAGCACCGCCGAAGCGTGATACAGCGGTGGCGTGCCACGCTGGTCGGCTGATCGATTTTTTTCTTCTCTCGCTGCCTCGGCTATTTCAGCTGCGTGCGTTGTGAGTCACCACCCCGTCTAGGGGGAGGTGGTTGAACCCCTGTCGGGTGTGCAACTGGAAAAATGCAAACTACAGTATGCAGAAGGGTTACCAACATCTTCGTTGTCGTCAAAACAGCTGACAGTAAGTACCTTTGAAAAAGTTACTGAACTTGGCTGACCCGAATATCCAGCTTACGATGGAGGCTGAGACAAACAACCAACTATCCTTCCCGGACGTGCTGCTTATGCGCCGGTGTGTAACTAAGCAACTGCAAACTACAGTATTCAGAAAAGCCACCGACACGAGGCGAATACTGCAGTTCAACAGCAATCGCCCTCTTAGCTCTGTCTGCACTCTATTTCGAAGAGTTTAGATCCATTTCAGCACGTCAGAAGACAGAGGGGCCGGACGACTATGCCCTCAGATCCGTTTCTCAGCCATTTTATCGAAAAAAGCAAACGCCAAACGTACAGACGGCGGCCAAATGAGCTGCAGCACGAAACCTGGATGGCCATTTCCTACATTAACGGGGTCTCCGAGGCGGTCTCTCAACTGCTAAAACCCGCCAGAGTATGTATAGCCTATCGAGCCCAGGCAGCCATCCGGCGTCGTTTGATGCAAACTAAGGACACGCTGCCACCCAGTGAAATCTCAGCTGTTGTCGACAAAATGAGTTGCAATTGGAGAAACTGGGAGGAAACTGCAGACCCGCCTACAAGAGTACAAATCGGCAACTCGGAGACGAGACCCAAAATCTCAGCTTGCAACTCACATTGAAGAGACTGGTCACACTTTACTGGGGCTGGGGACGCTCAAAGGCATACACAGCTAACACTTGAGGCGTAGAATTCAGACCCCAACTCCGTCAATAGGCATCTCGACTTTCCGGCAGCTTTCGAGGCCTTGCGTCATTACGTTCGCAAAGGTCAGGACAAGACGACCACACGGAACTTAAGAAGGCCGCTGAGACAGCGAAACGACGAACTCACTCGATGAGGAAGAAAAAGAGCCTTCAGACCGACCAACCCCGACAGAGGCTCAACTATGTACCTCAACCCTGACGGGGTGGTGGCTCAGAACGCACGCAGATAAAAAGCCAACTAAACATCCCCCGAACGGCCGAGGCAGCGAGACCAGCAAGAGGCCGATCAGCGCAGAATGCCACTTCAACTTCAGCCCGAAAGAGTGCATTTTACGCTCTGACAGAGGTGAGCCGACCAAGCTCTCCGAAACGTCAGCATCCCAATATACCCGTTCTAGCGAACCCTTCTTATTTCTCAAACTACTTGACGAGTCTGCTTGTTTATCCACCCCTACTAGACCTCTAGGTGGGACAGTTTCTCCGCCTTTTTTCGTGATCATGACGACCTCAAAACCCATGCCAGTGCCTTAAGGTAGTTCGGCCGTCGTTACGATATCCACCGCCTGCTCCACGGTGGGCTAGTAGGTGGGACGGTGACTTGCGCTGCACCTACTGCACTCTCTCCTCCTCCATCTGGATCCGGTTTCAAGACAGAGTCAAGAAGACCAGAGGCAGGAGAGGGCGCATGTGACTGGCACGGCGAAAACTCGCACTCAGGCGTGCCACCACACCTCCTGGTCTACGACGTACACTGAACAGGATTTTACACAACTAGAAAAAAGATGGGCCGCCAGGATCCTACCTGACGCTGTACGAGCCTGCGCCTAGGCGTGCTGCTACATCTCGGGGTGCACATTCTCAGTAACGCCTGCCGGACCCCGATCTAGCTCCCGTGTTGGTCCAGGGCATCTACCGCGTAGCCCCTTTTAGGGATAAAACCGGTGGCTTACGATGACCAGAGGACAACAGTGCGACCCTCGCAGACGATA